GCATAGCATGTAGAGAATGCGCTGCATTGGAGGTTGTACGACATGGGATCCTGACTACCCAATCCCCACATACTCCCGTCATGCACGGAAACTTATCTTACTGGGTGTGAGTCGGAAATAAGGCAATACATTTATATAGGGATTCTAGAAGGATTATATGCCCTTATTCCCCACAAACCACCAGTAAGTTATGTCTGAAGGGCCTTTCAATGAGAAGGCCACATCCTGGCAGCCGACCCATGGTGCCCTGGGTCCCTGATATTCGGTCTAGGTAAAGTTTCAATGTCAGGGTTTAGGGTTTCTCGTTCTGCATTAAGGGTTTATAGAGGCTCAGAAGTTTTCAGGTCTTCTTGAGTAGAGAATGAGGGATACAAGATATGAGGAATAGATGTGTCTGGGGCATTGGGAGTTGGAGGTTCTACACCCCCGGGAAGAACTATGCCATCTATTCCGTGATACAGGAATAAGATAAAATAGCCGCAGAAACCAGAGCTCATAAGTAGCTGAAAGCCTCCCATGCCTTCTTCGCAATGGGTCCAAGTATCCAAATATGGGGGCTCGAGGTTCTCTAAAACCCCATTATTTGAGTACTTGGAACCCTTAACCCCAAAAACCTAAACCCCAAACTATTTGAGTACTTGGAACCCTATCATCCCTGAACCCTGAAGTATTTGAGTTCTTGGACCCCTTGGGGCTTTAGAACAGTCAGACACCGCTGAGGCTTCGACTGCTTTGCGATCCGTTTGAACTTCTCGAAGAGGCGGTTTAGGGTTTAGGGTTTACGGAGAGAACTCTTTTCCCACCCTTTTTGGGATCTGAGGTTGATTGCATCAGTATTATACCCCTAAACCCTAAGAGTTTTGGATTTGGGGCTTATACATAGAGATCTAAAAGGGTATGAAGGGATGCTAGGGATTACAGGCTTCAGGGCTTCCTGACATTAGGGTTTCCTTTTTGGGAAGTCATTACCACCCAATACCAAAAAGGGAGCCCTTTTTTCCGCTGGGTTACTGGGTGTTCTTGGTAGGATCCTCCGGCTGTCTTTTGGTCATTTTGCGGAGGAGGGTCTCATAGTCAAGATGTTCTGCAGATTTTGTTCTGCCTTTTGCATCGACGGCTCTACATCCTGCAAAAGCCTGAATGGTCATCAAGATTAACAAACTTTATGTGCAAGGAGATAACTACAGCATGGTGTGGCCCAAGGCCCCCACATTTCACTGTGCCAATGTTTTTTTAATCTTGTGTTATGGTTCGCTACCAACCTGATGCAGGAAGCCCGGCGCACGGGCAACTTCAACCTCTTCGACGAGAAGTGCGGAACGGGGCTATGGGTGGACCTGAAGCATCTGGGATTTAGCCTATTCTGGTGCATTTTGGGTCTCCTCCCCCCTACGTCTTTGAGAATGGCGCCCTTGTTTCCGTGCTAAAAAACTTCCATTTCCAGTCTTCAAAGTCTAGGGCTTGCGCCTTGCCGTGCTTGTGAGTCATCTACGAAAGGATTTCGCCGCATGGGGTCGTCATTTGGTTGATGGCCTTACCCCCGGATGAAGATGCTCTCAACTTTACTCATCCGGCAAAGAAGCATTTGTGTCGGAATCCCATGTCAAGAACTGACCCTTGCCCCCAAACGCTAAACAGGAGTTTCCACAAGTGAGGTGCCACTATGTAGGCTCCAAAATGCCGTAAACAAACCCAATTATAGCGACTCCAAAATGGGACCTCAGTTTTCAGAAGCTTTGACCCCTCTGTGCCACTGTAGAATCCCACTGTCTGTTCCAGTAAATTACGACATCCGTTGCAACGTGACTCACTCAGCCCTTGTGTCCCCTTTATACCCCATGTCCTAACCGTGCTTTCGTCCTTCCCTTGGGGGTTCGTTGCTTCTGGAAGCCCTACAGAGTAGTCACGTGCAACCCCCTGCACCCTAATCAAACCCTGACCCGCTAAACCCCTAAGAAACTGGCAAGGATGGAGAGGTCCTCCTTCCCCAATTTGGAGGATGCAGATGCGGAACCGGAGAGGCAGCCTTCATAAACCCGTCCATGTAAGCCGTAAACCGAAAAAAAAACTATAAAGCCCTAAACCTTGATCAAATGAGGGTTTAGGGCAATGGGAATCTAGGGATCCCTAGGGATATGTGTACACGTATATATGGGACTTAAAGGGTTTTATGGGGTCCCTAGTATGTCATAAGCCCTCCTTTGTAACATGACGTGTTCTTTGGGCTGGGGGCGTAGGATGGTAAAGTATATGAGGACCCCAACTATCGTTGGGAATATGTTTGACATTTTGAGGGAGGGCAGACATGCTGTACCTGGGCACCAAAATTTAGGGTTTAAGGTTCAAATTGGGTAGAACAAGGGCAAACAACGTAAGGGGCTTGGCACACTGCTGCGGTTTTGAGATCAGAAGTGGTTTCGACGGCGGATATGTGTATGTCCATATATACACTCTAGTCCCCCCTAAGTAAATACAATGTCGCATATAAAGGGATTTTGTTAAAGTTTCTGGTGATTTCCATACTCCATCAATGGGGGACTGTGTCCACACACATGTGTATATACGCACAACTATGTCAAACCCCCTAGTCTGAATAAGAACCCGCACTCGCCTCTGAGAAAGTTGGAGTAACAAAGGCAATCGCAACCGTGTTCCTACACCCACTTGCAGGACTGGCACGCGCAATCCGCGCATCATCACCTCCACCACCATCATCATCACAAATCAGTCACAAATCCTTGCGAAAACAATCATTCGACCGAACTATTCACTTTGCTTTGGGGCCATGCAGGCTCAGCTCGATCTTTGACAGCCCATCCGCTTGCCATGGCTAAATCGAAGAGCCTGCCGTCATGCATCCTCTTCTGCCCATGCCCAAGATCAAGCTCCTGACTGTAGGAAATTGGCCAGACAAAGAAGATGTGGGAGCTTCTAGCCCCCCAAAAAGCTTCAGGTTGAGCCCTGGTTTGATTTCATGGCCGGTAGAGGAATGAGAACTAGCCATACGTTCCCAAACATCCCCACAGTTTGCCAAGAAACATGTCTTGCATCACATGGCAACCTTCTCAGCACACGAACACACTTTATCTATCCAGAATCTCATCGGAATAACAACTTGGCAAAGACGATGATGGCACCCATGTCCGCCTCTTGTGTTGCAGGGAGGAGTCGATAGAAGCCATGCACGAGGAGGCGCCCGAGGGTGTTCTTTGGGTGTTCTTCAAGAAAGGGGCACTTGGGGAGATCTGGATTTTTTGGCATTGCACAGAGATTATGGTGCTCCTATTACAGACTATGGTGCCCCTATTGCCTTCTTAGATAACATATACGGGAAGCTGGAAAGAATCCTATGCGACTTTGAGTGCCGTTCGTATGCAGAAACACAAGACACGTTTAGCTAGCAGTTTTTTTTGGGACAATTTTTATGATCCGCATAAAGTAGCCAGGGCATAGTCTTACAGTGTCCCTTCATGACCTAATTGCTCAATTGTCTGACGAGCCAGCAACCCAGGAGGAACTGCAGTTCAAGCACGGAGTAGTCTTAGCACCCCGAAGAGGTTCCGCTTGGGCTGGCTCATGCCAGCAGTCAGCTAGCTTGCATTTAGACTGGACTCCTTGCATGCCCCCAAATGGGCACTCACAAGTCTAAAAAAGCAGCGGAAACCTCCAAGTCTTGCCCTGATATGCTAGGACAGGATTCTCACAGACCACAAGAAAGATGATAAAAACATCGAGAGCTTGTAGAACCAACCGCAGTCGCCAAAATGACTGAAGAGCACCTATGCGCACTGTCGATGCTTAACCCAAAGAATGGAACTCGACCATTGAAAGCCCACACTGTGTAAGTTGGTGGGACCCCCCACTCCAAGCCTACGGACCGCAGGACGATGAGGGCTCTGAGCGGCCAGGACCGTCAGAGGGGTCTAGGACTCCTGGAGCCATGATACTTGGTTCAGTCGGTAGGATCGGTAGTTAGAAGTGTGTCCGTGATATATGGCACTCTTTGTTACAAAAGCATGGTCATGCTTGGGTTGCTCTTATCGAAGCCTCCAAATCGTTATGACTGTGTTCAGGTAGGTTTTGGGTCGTCTCTGAATGTTGAGGCAAGGATGACACGAAAGTTTTTGAGCCGATTGAATAAATCTCGCAGAATTCAATCCTGGTGCAGATATGAGGCATCATTCGTGGCACTTGCTTGTCCTTATGAAGCACAACCGAAGATTGATTTCAGGAAATGCAGGCACAGTGCAACGTCCTCTGACAGCAAGGAGTCCACGACAAGAATTATGCACACATGACAATGACCTTGAACTTGCGAGGAGAATTGCTGAAACACGAACCCAAAAAGCTATCACACATCCCACTGGAGACATCTCAGAACTGACAAGGCCCTAAAGCACACCATGCGCATGGCGAGCTTCTTCACCTACCCTTGTAGTACAGTCTCCTAGAAAAGCCCCACGATCTTTCAGATCTGAATTGCATTTCTAAATGCCCCCGAATGGCACAAACCTGTGCATGTAAGGAGTCTCCCAAAATCCTCTTCTAATTATTTCACCCAAACCCCAATGTCCCTCAAGTTCCCTATCTTGAGGGAACTCTAAAGCCTCTCAACCCCCCCCCCTTTTTCAGAGATCCCTGGGTCAGGCGAAGAGCCGGCAATGCCCAGCGCGGGTTTGCCACCTCCGCCCCTGAATCCCGGGTGGACGTGGCACACTTTCTGTCTTGGGATCTAAGCCATGAATAGTGCTTGCCTTGGGCCCTAAAGACTATAGATATTACCTACATTGGGCCCCAACATCTATAGGTATTACCTACATTGAGCCCTAAAGTCTATAGACAATGGCTACATCGGGCCCTGGCGTGTGTAGATAGTCCCGGGTCTGGCATATTTAGATCCCTAAGGCTTTCTTGTTGGTGCTGAGTCAGGAGGGGTTTCCCCAAATTAGGGGTACCCTTTTGGGGGTGCCAATAATAAGGATTATAGCATTTTGGTGTCTTTATTGGGGTCCCCTTATTTTGAGAAAATACAAGGAAAAGCATCGCAACTACATTGGGATCCATGCCAGCGGCCTCACCTAACCGAGAAGTATGTTATGTTGCTCTTCACCTTGAATTCTATATATCTAAGGCAACTACAGTAGGGGGTGACCATATATCAGCCTTACATACCCAATGTGTAACTCCCCATTGCCCCCATACACCCCTTATATGCCCTACATATAAAATCCCCCTATTGGAAACTCCCCTCCTGTAGTTGATCTTAACATATACCCCCCAGCTCGCTAAGGAATCGCATGCCTTCCAAGACCACGCCAGCTCCCGGCGACGAGCATGCCTTGTCCCACTGAGGATGCAAAAAGTGTGCAACTGATTTGTTTAATGGCTTGCCCAGGACCTCCAAAGTAATTCTCTGTTGGGTTGTATACTGTATTCCACTGCCAAAAAACCACAGCAAACGAAAAAAGGAATTACATGGGAGCCCTTGGGTAATTGTTCATCCAACATAAACCCTATAGTTCCTATAGTTTCCATTTTCTTTTCCATTATCCATATATAACCCCTAAATAATCCTTATATAACCCCTATAACTCCTATAGTTTCCATTTTCTTTTCCATTATCCATATATAACCCCTAAATAATCCTTATATAACCCCTATAACTCATAGTTTCCATTTTCTTTTCCATTATCCCTATACTTCAACCTCTCTCGAACAGGCCACCTCCAGCCCATGAACTTGTCGCGGACAAGGACAGAGCCGGGCACTGGAGCTGCCAGGGACCAGGAGGTTGGGATTCCCTGGGTTTGAGGCATACAGTAGGAATAATATTAGTAGAAATAGTAATAGTAATAATAGTAATACTCATAATCGTAATGTTAGTAATAGTAATAGTAGTAATAATAATAGTAATCGGCTGTTCAATCTGAAACGTCAACTCTCTTGAAATTTGTTCCCCAAAAGAACACAAGCCTAACAAGGACCGCCCCCCCCAAAAAAGTAGCGAACCTATATTGCCCGTAAATCAACAACCCGCTGAACCGAACCCAAATCCTAAAGTCTGATGCCCCGAACAAGATTGCAGAGCATACAGCTGGCTGCACTTAGGGAGCCCGCTTGTTTCCCTGAAGCATGCCAGGAGATTCGGAGGGTCATGCGGGAAATGGAGAACAAGGCCAGGAGAAATCGTGCCTTGAAAGAGAGGCAAAAGTTGGACCTCCACCTACTGGCTAACTATGGGAATATAGTGGGTTTGTATAGGGATAATCCCAATAGCGGGGTTTCTGTGCTAATACCGGTTCCTATGATTATTCCTATTTGGGGATCAGGAACTCAGGGCAAGTCTCATATAAACCCAGGTGCCACTTCATTTCCATGTTCCTTTCCATCCCTAAATCCTAAACACTAAACCCTAACTGGTACTTTCTATGTTTTCCATTATCCCTGTATACCCCTATATATACCCTAGATACTCAATCCTGATAGAATATGACCCCCAACCTGCACGCGTCAAATGCAGGTCCTCAAGCCTGTGGGCCTCAAGAGTCGCCACTGGCCTGTGTTGAGCCTAAAATCTCCGGCTGTGTAGGTCTAGGCTTTGGGGAGGGGGGGGGGGGTTTAGAGTTTAGAGTTCTAGGGGAGCATTTGAGAGCTTCAGGCCTTTAGAGCTTAGGGTTTGGTTGAGGGTTCATAGTCTGTACTGAGTATCCCGACCATCTAATTTAGAATGCCCTCACTCCCCACCGTGCCCAAAGCCTGCACTTCCCCGTACCGTAGCCCTGGTTTCAAAGCCTGCACTTCCCCGTACCGTAGCCCTGGTTTCAGTCCTCCTCATGCAGATGGTTAAGGGGGAAAGGGTGACTGTGCGATGGCCTTGCGAATATGTTGCACTTTGACGTTGCACTTTGACTGCTTGTTGGTTGTAAGTTTGGGCTTTAGGATTTGGTGTTTGGTACATGGACGTATGCCGGATTTCGCAGCCTAGGACTTGGATGAATCGTTTTGGTTCACAGGCACTACCGAGGCTTACATTCAGAGCGTAGGGCCTAGGAAGTGAAGCCGTAGTGGAAGGCTACACGTTCAGTTATTTGATTGTCAGAGTTTCGTTGTTAAGGAGCTTACATTAAGTCACCAAAGTTCGGAGACTTCATGCATTATATACCCATAGTATGGCAACTTCATTCCAGTATTATTTACTATGGACTTCCTAAACCCTAGACACTACACTCCCCCAAACTAACATGGAAACCCATATAGTCCCCTTTTACAAGGACTGTAGTCTTTATAGGGCCTTTTTTGGGGTTTCCATGTTAGGGAGTGTACATAATAACTGCAACCCAGCCACTGGGATGCTTTGGGGCCGACTTCGGGCTGGGCTTGTGTCTTTTTAGGTTGGATTAGTGGGAGGGGTGATAGTTTTTGGGTGAGTTTTGCCCTTTATTCGCAGATGTCTAAAGACAGGGGTAGACTAATCCTCAAGGTTTGCAGCCCTTTTTCACCCCCGCACCTTATTCCGCCACTTGGTATCTTTGCACGAAGGGCTCCTGTTTCAGTGTTTCAAGCCTTCACACACTGTATTTCTGTGGTGGTAATCCACTCTAGATACCCCGTACCCCCTAACATCGCTTATTTCCGAATACATATGTACATATGTATTTATATTTAAATGCAATGCTGCAGATAATTATTAGGGGAGCCACGTCTGAAATTAGAGGTGGCGGGTGGTCGGTGATCAGTCGCTGGCAAGCCAGGCTTCGCATTGGCCTCGCACGGGCGGAGGCGGAATCAATGAGAACAGCTGCTTACTATAGGCGCCTAAATAATTACCAATAGTATATAGGGTTATATAGGGGTTGCATTGGGATAATGGAAAAGAAAATGGAAATTACTAAAATACAATAGGGTTTAGGGGCCTCAATATTTACCTATAATATGGTTCCATATTCCGTGTATAAATATAGTATATGGTACCTCAAATGGACCTCAACATAATATTGGCAATTATTTAGGCCGCCATATTACTGGTGCGCAGTGAGGAACCGGGGAAAGCAAATGTTAAAAGCAATCGCTCCGTTGCTTGCGGGCTTAGGACGCGTCATAGCACCGGGGGAATAGGTTAACCTCAGGGATTCTATTGGGGATTATGTGAGCTGTAGTCTAAACTCCTTAGGAGGGTGTTATATCGGAGATTATATAGGGCTTATTAAGGGGGATGCCAGGAGTTTAGACCTTAAACCCTAGACCCTACATCCAAAATCCTAAACTGTGTTTGTAAAAGGGGGTTTTAGGAATTTAGACTATCGCGTATATGGGTACGACTATAGGGGTCCTTATGAGAACAGCCCCTGGTTGGTCTCATGGCAGTCACACCATTGACAATGGAAGTGTTGCATCATCTGATAGGGGTTGATGCCTAGAATGAGGGTTCTACTATTTGGGAATCTTTTTTGGTCCCCCATGGGCTTCCCGTTGTTGGTATCCCCCCTACGCCCGGCATCCTACGACTTGGAGCAAGATATCCTCCGTTCAGCGTACTTGGGTTGATGATGAGCAGAATCAAGTTCCTCCCTCAACCTCATCAGCAGTAGACAGTGTAAGTAGTCCTGCAAAGATCAGGCAGCAGAGTGGTTAGGATGTGACGCCATCGAATGAGTCGACAAAGTGCGCTTTATTGTTGGAGGCTTGTTGCTCAGACATGGGTCATTCCGGCTGGCAATTTGGGTGCTGGATCAGGAAGAACTGGCCGTAAAGACAATTCCTAGCCTAAGTCATTAACTCATGAGATGACTACAAAACCATGGGCTCTCCAAAATTGGGCCTAATAGTAGCATGGGTCATTCCGCAATTGTCTTTTTGACAATAGTCACGGCAAGTTCGGTCGGCAAGCGTATTTAGTTGCAAGCAACGCTGCTCCTGCACTGACATTGTCTGCCTAGACCCGAAGTACCTGTTATTAGGGGGCCAGATCAACCCAATTAAGGGTGCTGGAGGGGCCTGGTTGTCTGGTCAGAGTCCTTAAAAAGCTCGTTAATCTGCAGCTGCATTTGCTCTGAGTCTGGCAGATGGCACATGCCAGGCAAGGCTTCCTCAGGAAATCGAATGACGCAACGCTTTGTTTAGGGTTTTCGGGTTTAGGGTTTAGAGGGAACCGCGGCTACACTCAAGCCCTGTTGTTTCTGACCGTATTGCAAATGATCACCGCAGCCCCAGCCCCAGCTCCTAAGCCCCGCATCCTCCACCGAATCGCCAAACCCTCAACCTCGAACATTAACTTTCTGGTTCTTGAGTAGGGACTAGGGGAAGATTGTCCCTATATGATGCTATCCAATAACATATTATTCCCTTATTCCCTATTAAGCACCAGTAAGTCAACCTTGGACGCTAAGCCCTGAAGCCTGAACATTTTCTGGCCATGAGCAGAAAGAATGGATGCCTTGAAGCCTCGCCGCCTTGTTTCTGCCACAAAGGGGGTTAGTAGGGAATGTGGCAACATATTGGGGCTGTATAGGGACAATGGAATATCAAATGCAAGCAACCAAAGTAGCATAACAGGGTATGTTTGGGTTAGTAGGGAAAATGGGAATACATTTTGTACAGAGGTTATATATAGGATTATTTTCCATTATTCTCTACTAAGAACCAGTAAGCTGGCGGACCTGTAGGAACGCGTGCGGTTGGCAACTCTGACATTGCTCTAGACGAAGGATGTCCATTGGATCTTCGCCCTAAACTCTAAACCCTAAATCGTAGTGACTCTTAGGGTTTAGGGTTTGGGGCTTGGGATTGGTGGCCATAAAGCATGCCTGCATACAAGCAGCACTTTTGCGCACATGATGATAGATGTGTGCTTAAGCATCATGTGCATGGCCGAAGCTGGCTGAGCCTCACCTGCGTAGTATGGCCCTTTCCCTAAGCAGGGCGCCCCCAATATACACCCAAAAATATTACAGTCCTTATTATGGGGACCTCCAAAAAGGTAGCCCTTGATCTTGGGAAACCCCCATATATGCACTCGCTGATCTCCCGCACGCAGTGCAAGGGAGATTTGACTCCACTCTGCGTGTCAAAGCAAGTGGGCATTTCTAAGCAACAAAAACACCAGCATACGCTTTTGGGTGGAATGGCCCTTAGTTTTTTGGAGTTACTTACAGTGGTCATAATATTTCCTATCTATTCACTTGCTATCATTTGCCTTTGTTCTTTCTGGACTCTAGTTCCTGTGAGGTTCCCGAAGAAACTTCCGAGGCACACGCTGCAGGAAGTGAAGCGTGAAAAATACTTACCCTAAGGGTCCCTGCCAAATACTATAATATTAATGGTATTTGGGCCCTAAAGCCCTATTATTTGGGTC